GCTTACCTACATAATCCCACGGATAATAATGCCTGAAAAAACGAGTAGACCAGGATGAATCTTGTCGGCCATATAGAAATACTGACACCATAACACTAACAAGTCCCTTATCTGGAGCACAAAGCAGCTGAGTCAAATCACTTCGCGACTTTGTACCACTGTATAGATGTTTCACGATAGCGTTCACAGCTTCCCCAAGCTGATGTTGAATTTCTGTCAAGCGAGTTTCTGTAAAACAGAAAATAACTTTATACGCGGCTGTTAAAAAACAAATCCATCCTAAAGAAATCTGAGAATATTTGGCAATCTGCGAAAACAAGCTTGCAAGAAGCTTTAACAACAAAAGTAAATTAAGAGATACTTGATCTTGCGTTTAAAATTTCGCTTCGAGATGCACTGGGAGATCTTGCTCTCGTAGGCGTTGCACTGCGCGAGTGTGACTTTGACCGTTCGTAGTAACCATTTTGGAACTGCCCAGCTTCTTCAGCATCCGGGTCGACCTAAAAAAGCAACAGAAAAATTTAAAAACGAAACTGCTGTACATTTTTTAAGCGACAACTTCAGTAAAAGAAAAGACTCTTTTCTGAAGAAAAACCAACAGCAATGAAAAAAGCAGTTGTAGAATATACTGTAACTTCAAAAGTCAGTTAAGTTTCGTCCGTTTGTTATCCATAGTATGCAGTTGCAAAAGATTTTAAAAGAACATAATTCCAATCACCTTCTCTAACAGTCAGCATCAGACTGGCTGACTGTTCCATAAAAGCTAAAATAGCTTCTAAAACTAAATATTTCTTCCTTAAGCCAGATATCTTAGCGACAAAAATGTTTTTTTTCTGCATCACAATCAAATGCGAAATTGCAAAAAAGCTGAACTCTTTTGTCAGACTCTCAGTCAGAAATTGCTGGGAGTAAGCTTCAAATCCCTATTTATACAGGGGATAAAAAACATACTTGTATCAACTCAGATTCCACCGGTAAACTCTAACTGGTTTTTATGGCAACTATAAAAGAAGTTTGATGAAATCAATACTTTCTCTCCTCTTCACTCTTGCCCAGTGCTCTTATCTTTAGCATTAAGAAAGAGATAAAGAAGAGCATAACTTTCTTAAAAACCAATAAAATGCCTTTCAAAGCCTTTTTATCTAAGAGCACCAAATAAAAAAAACATCCAAATTTCAAAACTCTGAGCAGTTCTGGTAATCGTAAAAAAATTTTACACCGTGCTATTCTAGCAAGTCCTCCAATCTTTAAAGAATACTTGAACAGTCTTGCAAACCTGAGGAAGGACTTCTGCAACCAGCAAGCGTTCTAAAGAGCCATCGTCAACACCTCGTCCAAACCACCGTCCGCAATTGAAACGGTAAGTTTGTCCTGTCACCTCATTCCTCACTAACGCCTGTAGAAAATATAGAATGAAAAGTTGTTACTTTAACTATAGACTCAAAACCAGCATAATTATTAAAAAATATTTCATCTGTATGGTTATTGTCAAAAAAATTTAAGAAAAGGATAGCATTCGACACAAAAAGAGCAAAAGACAATAAAGAATTCATATAAGAGTAGTACATAAACTCTAAATTGATACATCCCTCTCTCAAACCTCAACATGTAGTGA